TGCATTATTTCACGGTAATAATTAATGTTGATGACAATTTGTAGATTGCTTTTTTAAAGACATGGGTATTACAGCCTATGAGCCTTGAAAATTATGAAATACATTCATAGTTTGAATGCTCATGAAATTTAAATGATCAAGAATGACATAGTTATCGATTTATTCTGAAACCCATGGTTAATAATTCGCCGTAGGAGAATTATCTTCATATGAGAATCCATTTGCTTGAAACGATTGTTTTCGGTTACCTTCGCAGTCATCCCGAGGTCAAGATGTACAATGATTGATAATGAAAAGATAAGACTTAATCTTTCGAAAACTTGGCAAAAAATTGAATATGAGAGCAATGAGAAAATCAGAGTGTTTCCAAAATTCCAATACAAACATTTTCCAATTTAAACATTCTGCATCGAAAAAATTATTACCAACACTGAGTTAATTGGATGACGAATTCTAGTTTTCTATTGATTTGAGCTGTAAATTGCCATAATAGCTCCAAAAGTGGATTTTTATAACTAAAAACATTCGTCGAAAAGCTAGAAAGAATAATTTCGCTCTATCGCATTTTGGTTAAGCTATGTGAATGTTTCTTAGATGCTAAGATGTGCTTTATTGCAGCTTAATTCATGACATTATTCTACATTTTTTTTTCAGCCCCTTCCTGCGAAGACGCTGTCAAGATCAAAGCGAGACGTAAGTTTTTCTGTACAACGCTCAGTGCAGTAATGTTCACTGAAGTTCTTACTAGATGCAGTAGATACTGAAATTTCTGTTTAATTTCTAATGGACAATGATTCAAAATTGCATGCCCAAGTATATTTTGTATGGTCTCGTCGGTTGTTCAGCAGGGAACCTCATATTCGATGCATTTAATGGATATTTTTAAGTGAAATTTTGTGAGGATCGATGTCTTTGTTCCACTGCAAAATGAAACCGAAAATCTGGAAATTCTAATAGACGGCCTCAGGAAATTTTATTTCCCGTCAGATTTAATGAGTAATCTCTGAACGTTTTATTTTTGAGGAAATATTGAACCTTGGATAACAAAATTAAGACATTATTTAAATAAAGCCGTGCGAATGCCTTTTTCAAACCAGACGAAGGGAACCGGCTCATCGGCCGCTGATTTGACGCTGACAGTCGTGGGCACTGACCCGACCACGGCACTCCTACCCGGCCAGTCCATCAAGTACAAGCTCACCATCATCTTGCCCCAACTCAGTGAGACCAACATGATCCTTATTGCGTAGGACAAGATGCCTGATATGTCGTCTTGCCCAAACTTTGTGAGACTACATGATCATTATTTTGTAGGAAAAGCTGCCTGACATATCGTCTCACCGCAACTCTGCGAGACTACATGATCCTTTGTTTGTAGGAAAAGCTGCCTGACATATCGTCTTGCCCCAACTCTGTGAGACTACATGATCATTATTTTGTAGAAAAAGCTGCCTGATTTATCGTCTTGCCCCAACTCTGTGAGACTACACGATCATTATTTTGTAGCAAAAGCTGCCTGACATATCGTCTTGCCCCAACTCTGTGAGACTATCGTTCATCCGCCCTCATTTGGGCCACCTGATGCACGATGCTGTTGCTTGCTTCTCGCCGCTGGTAGTGTTGCAGGGGAGGTCGATCTGGAATTGTGTCCAGGAACACGTCCAGTTGTCTCTTGAAGGTCTTCAGGGTGAACTCCCCCTCTCTTAGATCCTTTGGTAGGGCGTTGAACAGCCTTGGCCCTGCCACGGAAAGTGATCCTTCCCGCAGGGATTGAAATCTGACTGCGGATCTGTTACGTAGTGGGGGGATCTTGCACAGTTTCCCCCTTCTCTCGTTGTGATATGTCTTAATCCTGAAAGTCTCGCTCTCGAAGTTTGGCACCATTCCGGTTATCATTTTCCATATCATTTTCCATTCCGGCATTTTCCATTCATAAGGATTCACGTGAATTCTTTATTTAATCTCATTTAAAAATTTAATTTCTTTTTCAATCTTCAGCTACCACCGCCATGGACCTGCTTGTCGAGATCTTTGTGATGGACGCAGTGTCGGGCATCACGCCCTTCGCGCTTTGCAACTTACAAATTACGGCGTTCGGCTCCCTGATCACGAGTGGCACGGGCGGCGCTCTTACAGCGGCATCTTTCACACCCGACATCAAGGAGAATGCCTTCCTCTCTGGAGTGGTTGGAAAAATGCCGTTATAAACTACTCATTTGTTAAAATTAATGAACGTTGAATTCTTCCTTAAAATATCATATGAGTTGTTTCAACTAGTTTTGCACTAAAATTGCACCATTTCATATTTGAAGTAAATGATTTTGCATTCAATTCCGGAAGAACAGCATGACATAAATTGTATCTCCTCATGATCCAATTTGGATCCGCCATTGCCTTACCGCCGTTCCAGAACGATCGAGCAACCATCGACTTCGGCTCCCTGAAGAACTCCGCGGCTGTCAACAGCGCTGGATCCTTCACTGACAGCACCATCGAGATCACTTTTGACGTGTCCCTGGTCTCAAACCCTGCGTACAAAAACGCCACAGCCATTGTCACCGCGGGGGCCGAGTACGACTCAGACAACTACGTGTGGGTCAGCCAGGCGTCCTACACCTACAACATGGATCCCGTGAGTAAACTAAAGGAGCTTCAGATATGCACTAATCCTTCACCTTGGGAGTGGTGCTTGTGCTACTGGTTTAGTCAAGCCGCCAGTCCCACCAAATTCATACGACATGGCACAGTGTGCATTCTAAACGCACTTCATAATACACACAGAAATGTCCCCGCTTTACAAGGAGCTCTTCTCGTGGTCCTTAAACGCAGTGAGCGAGGTAGTCATGCTCTCACCCCTCTTTCTAATACAACACTACTCATAAGTGTCTTTGGACAAATTTTTGTATGTATCTCTGGACCTCAAAGCCAAGCATTTACTCAGATGTAAATTTCTTAGAAACTCATCATTTGCTGAACTGAACAAACGATATTCCGACGATCACATATTACTTATCCTCTGTTGGTTATGCTCATCCCAGGATACTCGAGTATCTTGGGATAAGCATATCCAACAACGGATACGTAACATGTTACATTAAGTAGGATAAATACCTTCTGATTCTCTCCTACTTCGCTTCCCCCAGGGATACTCATACCCCAGCAGCATGACGCTGAATGGCCCCAGCACGGCTGCCGCGTACTCAGGAGCCACCTTCACTATAGACGCCACCATCACAGACCCCATGGGGCCTTTTACCTTCGAAGTCTACACTCCTAATAAAATTCATGTAAGTTAAAGACATAAAACTCTGCTCATATACATTTATTATAAGAAATTTCATCTTTGACTACCCCTTTTGACTTAGACTAGCCCTTTTGACTTTCACTTAACTGTCGTATTCAACTCTGTTAAGGTCCATTCGCTACTCCAACCAAACAGTTTTTATACTTTAATTGCATAGTATTCATGTTCCTGTATCGGCATGAAATCTGAAATGTATTTATTAATCAAGCGTGTTTTTATCAGAGTCTTTATCACGCCACAAACGAAAATAACTAAAAATTGTACAGGGAGATTCTCGGAAACTTCCTGATTAGGAAGCTCAATAAAAAAGAAGTTGTAAAGATATCATTACATTATGAATTTTATTGAAAAATACATCAACTCAATTTTTGTAACACTTAGTTTTAAAGATGACATCGTACAAATGGCGGCTACCTTGTCAATGCATTCAGTTAGTCAACTTTTGAAGTTCCGTTCAGCTCAAGGAAGCATATTGACCGGTATGTTGGCGTTGGCTGGGCGTATTTTGTTCTTCAAATGAGTTAGGGTCCTTCTATAGTCATTATAAACAACAGATTTAGAAAACCCCATAAAAAATCACACGGAGCCTAATCGGGGGATCAGGCCGGCCAAAGAAAGCCGCTTCTCAAGGAGATTAGGCGCAAATTACGAGTAAGGAATGATAGTAAAGTAGCGATAATGGAACGGCCACTTGAAAAGTACGTCGCGACAGCAAACACACGCTGCTCACTTGGCCATTGCATAGTGTCAACTGACTAGTCGGGACACAAACCCTCATGACCTTGCCTTTTATACGAAATACTTCCCCCCTTTTATCCTACAACATCTGGTTGCTTGGAGCGAAATACAAAACATTAAGTTTCAGTGAATCACCTGTAAATATTGACCCCAGAACAAATTCACGGTGTCGAACTTGGCGATCGTGAGCGTTGGTGCCAACCTTGGCTGCGCCGGGACCCCAGTGCCCGAGTATGAGTACTTCTACTCTGTGGACAAGAGGACCTACCATCGAGGCGTTGCGAAATTCGACTTCGTCATGACGGGACTCGTGTACCGTAAGTATCGCTTGAAAATGCAAGTATTCTGTTATTGCTACTACCACAGGAAATGGAGGAAGGCACGACGAAAGTTTTCAGGTATATTGTGTTGAACCTATTTTGGGGTCTCCCTCATAACGCTCCAAGTATATTGAAGTGGGAGCCTAATAATTCTTCCTACAAAGACTTCACACCTTTATTGATTACTCCATTCTAAGTTAAGCTCTTGGAATAGTTTATCATCCGAGCAGTAACGATGCTAAAGTAGTTTAGAGATTGTTAGCACTTATCACCGACATGGTTTGAAATGTAGCCTTCAGGCTTTGAAGAAAAATCTACCATCAGCGCAAAACTGAACGTGGCCTCAATAATTGTTGTTTATATTTTTTTTTATTTCGTGATGTTTTGGATTTACTGAAAATCTTATCATCGCACAGCTGATCTTGTCGCTGAACTGAACGACACTGGCAATAAAATTCAGCTGGGTTTCACGGTGTTCTTCGTGGACGTCGCCGAGACCGAGAATGTGACCGTGGGCGCTGGCATCACCATCGGCAACAGCACCTTGTGGACCTCCCTCATCAACGTCACCATGGGAGCGCCCATCACTGTACCCAACACCGCCGGGACAGCAACTTTTGCTACGGTGAGACTCCAGATAACAAAACAAAATTTTTCATCATAATTTAATAATTTTTTAATTATGTAATTCTTTAAACCTTTTACCCAATAAACATAACTCCTATCGTGGCGCATTCGTATGTGGATTTGATGACTGTAGGTGAACATGGAATGCCTTGTTCAATGAGCGTCGGTAATGCCGTTGTAATTAGCTATCTGCTTTGAGTATTGATCTGATTTTTTCAATTGGAATTTTTTTCTTCTGGAATAAAATCCTGAACCCCAAATAATTTATGCTCACTGGAATGTACCTTCTGCACACAGCCCTACATCGTGGGCGGCAACGGATCAGTCGCTCAGTACGGAGTTGTCACGTACGCGGTGCCCATCTCCATCACGAGCGGCAAGGGCGTCAAAGTCACCTGCACCGCCGCGCCGCCCGCTAACCGTGAGCCATCGCGTGCCAGTTAGATGATTATCAACACTTTCTTCAATATTAAATTCAATTTAAAAGCCATACAGGCCAATGCAAATGAAGTTTTTCCAAATTTCATCGCAACATCACCGGCGTTCTGGGGCCAGCCCACACGGTCACCGGCGTTATGGTCTCACCGGCGTTAAACGGTCTCACAGGCGTTCTGGTGGCCAGCCGACACGTGGAAAGAAACTTTGTACCGCCGTTTTTATTCAAATTTAACACTAGAAACCGGTACAACATCTGACTAAAACGCCACTAAAACGCCGGTGAGTCCGTTTTTCTAGTTTTTTTTTTTTCGAACAGTGCGCTTTCGCATCGGTTTTGTTAAGCTATCATTTGTTGGTTAGTCTAATCAAATATAATCTTGGTTTAGACCCACTTCTCTAATGATGTAACCTGAGGAGTAGAATGAGCGTATTTCCTCTGCAGACAAAATTACTGGCATCATGTGGGGCAAGGCGGGGGCTAACATCGCACTGCGACCCAACCTGACCGTGGGGATGGTGTGGGACGACACAATGGGCGTCACATCTTGGACATTTTATATCAACTCCACAGGACAAGTCAGTTCAAAATTTTAAACTCATTTTCCTCGCACTAAAATTTTCTCCATGGTTAGAATTTACCTGTCGATGATACTATTTCTCTCTATATCAAGCCAATCAAGTCGCCAATTCAGTTTGGAAACTTCAACCTAATTGCATAATTTAATTTGTTATAGATATCGTCAAGATTATTTGACATTAGAAATTGGCAATTTCGGTTGAAATAAATTGATATATTGGTATAAATTAACATTTGGCATAGAAAGCAAATATTGCCCAGCCTTTCTATATTGGATCTTCTTCAAAAAAAAAAACGAAGAATCCGACTAATAAATGTATTAGGGATATTGCACGTATTATCATATGCATAGAAAACATATGTATTACAAGACACGTAAATATATTTATTACTGACACGCATAAGTTCTTATGAGCCCACTGGTTGCAGGTCGCGAGCAGTGTTCCTGCTGACACTGTGGTACTTGAAGTGTCGGTGCAATATTTGGATTCTACTGCGAGGTCTGACGTATCTTTGTCCTGCGGGTCAACGGTCACGCTGACGGGAGCTACGTCGGGGGTGAGTAACGCAAGTGAAGGCAGGAGCTAGGGTTGTTATTGTGATATTGATGAGAACAAAAATTAAGAATACCTGTTGTTGCGGGGGTGAGTAACGCAAGTGAAGGCAGGAGCTAGGGCTGTTATTGTGATATTGATGAGAACAAAGATTAAGAATACCTGTTGTAGGGAAGAGGAATACTTTTTCAGAGATTAAGAATAGAAGTTGTTATCGAGAGGTATACTCAAAGGTTAAGAATACACGTTGTGCATGGGTGAGAGAACTACTAGTTCAGCAGTTAAGAATTGAGATTTTGGGAAGTACGAGGAACAGAGGTTGAAGATACACGTTGTTGGCGAGAGGTTTATCAAAAATTTAAGTCGTGGATGTCCGTGCTTGAGTTAGGATTTGAAATAGTGCATGATGCGTAAAGTGCTTGTCATCCGTTGAAGGCGTTATGATCCAAGGTCACTCCAGTTAAATGACTTTTTCATTAGAAACCAATTCAGCATTTTATCTTTTTTTATCGTCCAAGTTCCGTTCCATAGCTTTTACATCCAATCATGGTATCGATTAGATAGTATAGATCTGAGGTCTCTATTTCAGAGGTGCCACAGCTTTGAAGCCAATAGTATTCTACATCCATCTAACTGAAAATCAGACGATAATATTATAAAATTTTATTCACTAAAAATCTTATAACCAATTCTGAAATGATCTTATTCAGACCCGTATAATGAGATCACGAATGCACTAAGACGACATTAGATCATGTCTCTCACGATGCACATTGCTCCAACTCTATTACACGCCTGTACTTGCAATGAACTGAACATTATAGGTATGGATATATATTATATTTTACTTAAAAGATGGTGTCATAAATTACTGTAACTTAGTCATTATCTGAAAAGGAACCTTCGCCAGCGCTTTTTCCTTTGACAACATCTTTGTTCTGTAGTAAGCATTACCGTTATATCTGTAGTGAGCGTTGCCGTTATTTCTGTACTGAGCGTTGCCGTTATTTCTGTAGTTAGCGTTGCCGTTATTTCTGTAGTGAGTGTTGCCGTTATTTCTGTAGTTAGCGTTGCCGTTATTTCTGTAGTGAGTGTTGCCTTTATTTCTGTAGTGAGCGTTGCCGTTATTTCTGTAGTTAGAGAGCGTTGCCGTTATTTCTGTAGTGAGCGTTGCCGTTATTTCTGTAGTGAGCGTTGCCGTTATTTCTGTAGTGAGCGTTGCCGTTATTTCTGTAGTAAGCGTTACCGTTGTTTTTCTAAGTTGCAGCAATTATCTCTTTTGTCAATACAGAAAAGCATTATTGACGGCCGTACATTTTAAAACTTTCTCTCGCGTTCCATATTGCTTGCCTTCGTTGAAGTCGGCATTAAGTTAATATGAAAGGGTTGCTAGCTGAGCCCAAAGGACGTAAATAGGTTGAAAACGAACGATCATGTTCACTAACAGCTAACATCTTTATCTTACAGTACAACAACAAAAACAGGAGATACTGCATGTTGACTGCATTAACTATATATTCTTGCCACAATATACTGGCTATATCGGAATCTTTCTATGTATAATAATCTTTATAAATGAACATGAAATTATTTAGGGGGCTTTGGAATATTTTGGGGGCGAAGCCCCCTAGTAAGCCTAATGACGCCCCTGGTCGCCGCCCTTCCCTCTCTGCCCCTCCCAGAGTGGCGCATTTTGCGGTTTATTTTTGTTTATTTACTGTTTTGAAAACATTCTATTCTATATGGTAGGGATTTTACGTGTATGGTTAATACTGTTTAAGACTTGAAAGGAAAATTTAAATTTCTGTAAACTTAGATGTAGAAATCAATTCACGTTTTCGGTCGTAATTTGTCCTGTGATGAAAGCTCATTAGTCTCTTATCTACGACCGCTGAAGACTGGAGGGACAGCAGACGTTTCTGGCACAGCGAACGTGATCAATCCGACCTCCACCACCTGGTACAAGGGGGATCAACAGGCACTGCTCGTCACTCTCACCTTCCCACGTGAGACCAGACTATTATGTGGACATTCCACTATTATCTGGGTATAATAACATGCTGCGTGGTGCCTTATCCCGATGGAGTTTTTTTTAAATTGAAGTAAAAATGTTTAATTATATTAAAATCTGACGCTCTTGTAAGCGTTTTAATCGAAAATTTCAAGTCCAAACGATTCCCAATTAATTATACTGCGAATAAATCATTTCCATCATATGCATAGTAAATTAATCTGTAACTTTTTCTGCTTTAATTAAGCAAAAAGGAAAATTAGTAATCTCGCAGGTAAAATAAAATAACCTGTGATAATAACCACCTACCAATAAAATTCCCTGTGATTAAAGCTGTTCTATGTACCCAACAATCACGAGGTGATGGCCCGCCACTCTGATCGAGTTATTTGACTAACAAAACGTTTGATCAAACTAACCTACACACAATTGTTTCATGTGCTGGAGCAGCGGGGGGCAAGGCTTACTCCAACATGACCATCGAGACATCAGGCGACTTCGACGTTACGGCATTTGGAGCACAAATCTGCAAAGTGGAAATCTTGCGTTCAGGACTTGGAGTGCCCACACTTGGAGGCCGAATGGACCTTTTAAACAATGACGTTACCTTCGACAAAATGTGAATACTCCCATGATATAAACCTATAAAGTATAAACCTATAAACCAAGGATTGAATACAGAAGCATCATTGCAGCTATATATCTGAGCTTGCTTGGTTAGCCATGGAGTTATGTTGCCGCGCGCTCTGTGCAAAGTTGCTTCAGCTCGTTGCCTCAAAGTTGCCGCGCTGCCTCATCTCATTGCCTCAAAGTTACTTCAGCTCAGCAATTATCAAATTATCCCTCTTTTACCGGACCAGTTCTGCCTCCTCACTCTACAACGACGGAGGCAAGATGTTGGTTGGTGCCATCGCAGGGGTGAACCGCGGAACTGCGGCCGCTGCTGGGGACAACGACGTCGTCCTCAGGATGACTTACTTCCTCCCCAAGAACCAAACTACCATCACAAGTTTGTGCCAAAATATATACAACGCGCGGTCGCATCATCGATTTAAAATGAATTTATAAAGCAATTTGAGTTGAAGAGCTTGCTTAGAATAAATAAGTAAAAATATCAAAATACAACCGTTGAGAATAAAATTGCTGGTGCTACGATTGTGAATTCTCTATTTATATTATGATGAAATGTGAACGAGCGCATTTAAGTAGAATTTGATATTGCGCTCCTGGACCGTCATCATGCTATTAAATTCAAACCCTCAGAACCAAAAATTCAATAATCTGCCGTGAGCGTTCAGGAGTCTGCACTCAAAGAGATAAGCGCTCTAGTTAATTTTCACCTAGGGGTTACACTGTTTAGGCATCTGATGAAGTCAAAATTTTCGCAGGTTTGACTTATAACATGAGTATGGGGATCCAGCTGGACACAGACCTCATATGGACGGGCTGGAGTGGCTTCACGACAAGCGCAGCGGCCCCAACGGTGGCGGCAACAATCATTTCGCGAATGATTCCTCCTGATACGACGACTTATGAAGTCGGTCGACCCATCCTAGTCAAGGTGCGTTGCTTTTCGCTTTGAATTCGCTGCATTTCAATTCACATTCAATTTTAAGCAATTAATATGGTTAGCCAAATAACATAGTAAAATTTCACCTGCTGATCAGTTCATTCTGTAATATCAATTTAAATTTACTAATTTCATTCATTTTCGATTCAATGTATCCAAAAACTTTCGGAATATATTTCTAATGTACTTTAATTCGACAAACTTTTTTGTCTTCATCGCCGGAAATAGTCCGCTTAATTTAACTTAACTCTAAACTATAAATTTTGATACCCTAGATATACCCTTAGATCAAGATATTCCTGGAATTAGGTGAAGTAAAATGGCGCGGTTACTCTTGGTAGTTGAACACCGAGTAAATAGCCTTCGAGTTATCTAGTTAGGCTCAATGCATATGATCTTATGCCAAAAATCCATCTAACTTAGACTATTCTAACTTACAGCGTCCAATCTCATTTTTTAAATAGTTCCAGCGATGGTTCTCCGTTCAACCTTCCTTTGAACAGAGGAAAGAATCTATTTATTTCTTAACGAAAGATGTACAATTTTTCCTATGTCGATAAGATGCGTGACGCATAACTCTCTGCAATATCCCACCACTCTCAGTTCGTCATGAAGATGCCCCAAGGCAGCGTAGACAAGATCTCGCTCGTCGTACGCACTGCCAGTGGTGGAGTCACGGTGCTCTCCCTCTGCCGCATTGTCATCCTGGCCATAGGTAAGATGAAGCAATCTCGTCCTCAAACATTCTTCTCTCAAAGGCTTGAACATCATGACTATCTGAATTTAGGGCAAAACTACTATTATTTCATTTGTGTCTGAGTACACTGTAGCCTTTAAGTCACTGGAGTGCCGGATGCCTCGATAAACACCCTATGAACCTGGACGAAATAAAATAATTTAAATGAGCTTGCTTTTGAGCTACTTTGTCAGGAATAGCAGTGCTGCGTTAAAATCTCTAACAATAAGCATATAAATACCTTGGAGGAAAATCAAGAAGGCATTTTATTAATACTACTACACAAAGTCGTTTATATCAAATTTAATCATAGGAAAAGGTTATATAAATCAATCATCACACTGATGAAATTAACGATAATAAAATTAGCTATTAATATTGACAAATGTTTTGGTAAATTGACCCCGTACAGGGAGCAGCTATCCGTGCCTGGACCCTGACCCGTACGGTAAATCAATCATCACACTGATGAAATTGATGATAATGAAATCAGCTAGTAATCTTCAATGAGGTTTCAGTACATTGACCCCGTACAGGAAGCAGCTATCCGTGCCTGGACCCTGACCCGTACGGTAAAGAGCTCACCAATTTTGCTCAATTATAAATTATCAATGAGCCGATCCTTTCCCAAGTAAAATTAGCTATTAATCTTTAAAGATGTTTTGGTACATTGACCCCGTACAGGAAGCAGTTATCCGTGCCTGGACCCTGACCCGTACGGTAAAGAGCTCACCAACTTTGCTCAGCCGAACACAATCATCCACGACCCTGTCACCTGGGGACTCAAAGCCACCGTAGATTTCGGAGTGCTTCGCAACGTTGGTCAGTTCCGCTTAAGATCTGTGATAATCAGTCTATTTAATTTGAAGTTATCTCCTCATTCATCAAATAAGATGTACATTTGATGAATAATAGTTTATAATTTATTTAAATAATAGATGGTGGTTCCAAGCAGGTAATTTGTTCGATGTCGAAGCTAATTATTCTTAATTAAATGAAATGTAATTATCAGCCAGCTTTGAACTGTGTCACCTAATCGTAATTATTCTTTTTTTTTCTTTCGTCACCTTACATGCAGGCTACCAAGCGTTCTACGCTAGCGAGTTAGCCGACAGTGATGCCATCGTGGTAGGTGTGTTGGTCAAAGGGTTGGTCGTAGGAACTGATAATGTGACTATCGACCGAATCANCTGTCTCTTATACACATCTAGATGTGTATAAGAGACAGCCAGAACCTGTTGGCTTAGCAAGTGCTCCCTAGCGAATCGAAGTAGTTGTGTTGCCTGGTTTCTAGTTTGATTTCTGCGCCGTTCTGCACAGTCCAAGTTTGGCCATCGTATGTGTGGTAGGTTAAAATCTCCCGCGACCACAATATTTGCGGAAGGTTCACCTAAGTTGGTCACCTCTGTTTCTATTCCATCGAGAGTTTCATTGAATTTTTCAGGCGGGAAACCACAATACCTTAAAGGAAAACCCAGAAGGCATTTTTGTTAACACTACTACACAAATTTAATCATAGGAAAAGGTTATATAAATCAATCATCACACTGATAAAATTAACGATAATAAAATTAGCTATTAATCTTTAGAGATGTTTTGGTACTTTGACCCCGTACAGGGAGCAGCTATGTATCCGTGCCTGGACCCTGCGCCGTACGGTAAATCAATCATCACACTGATGAAATTAATGATAATAAAATTAGCTATTAATCTTTAAAGATGTTTTGGTACATTGACGCCGTACAGGGAGCAGCTATCCGTGCCTGGACCCTGACCCGTACGGTAAAGAGCTCACCAACTTTGCTCAGCCGAACACAATCATCCACGACCCTGTCACCTGGGGACTCAAAGCCACCGTCGATTTCGGAGTACTACGCAACGTCGGTCAGTTCAGCTTAAGCAGTTATGCAAATATATCCGTGCCTGGACCCTGACCCGTACGGTAAAGAGCTCACCAACTTTGCTCAGCCGAACACAATCGTCCACGACCCTGTCACCTGGGGACTCAAAGCCACCGTCGATTTCGGAGTCCTTCGCAACGTCGGTCAGTTCAGCTTAAGCAGTTATGCAAATCAGACTCCTAGTTCAAAATACAGTATATTGTCTTCACAACAGAACTGAATTTGTCTTAAAATGAATTTCATATGGAGCACCGCATTGACTGAAAAATGAATGTATAATGAATGCCCTTTCCAAAAGTTCCAGTTAGCTCTGCACAAGTATGTGTACTCGGTAGTTGGACATATTTTTTTTTGTATTTTGGATGAGTGAAATTCTTACCTTTACGTTGCATCACCAGATTACACAGCCAAAGTTAACTATTCTTGCGTCACCTGACACGCAGGCTACCAAACATTCTACGCTGACGAGATTGCGGACAGTGATGCCATCGTGGTGGGTGTGTTGGTCAAAGGATTGGCCGTCGGAAATGATAATGTTACCATCGACCAAACCAGCATCGGTGGGACGAAATCGTTCACCACTAATCTGGCCATCTCTGCCCCTTTAACTCCTGTAAGTTTGCTAGCCTTCTTATAAAATTTTAACAATTGATATTCATCATTAAAATTAAAATGATAGATTGCGGCCAGTGAACCAGTAGTCACGATACTATATGCATTTGTTAGTGCTGGATTGGATGTTAGGGTATCCGAAATCACCAGCCAAAACCAACATGAGTATGAAAATGTACAATATATCGTTAACTGTCATGGAATTTAATCGTTATTTGATTATGAAAATAAGTCACATAGAAGTATAAAAACTGAAATCATAAAAATTTACTAGTAAATAATATTCTCTACGATACAAGATTGTTTGCAATAACAGCCTAGTATTCTTTTCGTTAGATTTTATTTTCCCTTTATTCCCCTTCTCATGATTATTTGTCTTCACTACTCGACAGGCGAACACCTTGACCGAGGCCAACTGGGTGCCTTTGGACGGAACAGCCGTCGCCTACGCTGGCGTAATGAAAATCATCGACCTGGTCTTGGATGTGCCTGTTGGGTATCGACAGCCTCTCATTGTTAAAATCAAAAACGACAATTCACTCAACATGGAGCTGTGCTTCGCTGCTGTCGCTGCAGTGAGCCTTTCTTTCATTGTAGGAAATTTCGGGTGTTAGAAGCCTCGTGCGACATTAAATGCATTACTCTATCACAATTTACGGTCCTGTCAGCTTCCGGTATAGTGACGCTGTACCCACCGCGCAAATTAGCGGCTCAATGTTCGCGATTCGTTCTGTTTCCTCCAATTAAATGAGCGTCTCATTAGCATCCCGTCAATTGTCGGGCGAGCGTAGGGTGCGCTCATTTGGCACCTGATACCTTCCAAGTTCGAAACGGCCAAATCTGAACAGTGCGTTAAAAATTGCCCTTCCACCCTCCCTCCCTGTACTAAAGGGGGAAGGGTTTTGCTTATCGACAATTTGAGGTTTGACTACGATGTTTTCAGCGAACTTTACAATTTGGTCGATCAGATGATATTTTTTAATTTCCCATTTCCTCTTTTACAAACGGTGCGTCATATAAACAGTTCTAACATTTTTCAAATTATACCTCAATGCCTCATTAACGGAACTAACTGTTCAGGCTTTCTAGCGAATACGTAACTCGAAAAAATTGGCAGTCCTAACAGTTTCACATAATCTTAGTTTTATCACTAAACAGGTGGGAAAGAACGTGCCGTGTGTAATCCCCCATTTGATCGTCCCGGAGGTGGTAGTGAAGCCCGCATGGGAAGAACATACCCTGAACCTCCTGGAAACGTGTTACTACGATGTCGCCCCCGGTGACAAAAACGAGAGCACGGTGAGTGTTTGAAGAGCAACTGTTGGAAAACGTAATGGGCCTCTTAAAGCCCTCGATTACGCTCCTTAGCATCAGCTGTTGAATAAATCGCTCGTAAGAATATTTCGATGATTCTTCAAATATAATGCATTAGACTGTGGATATCAGAGGATATCTCTGTTTTATTTATTGAATGGTAATACGAAAACAAATTGCGTTTGATTTTATGGTTATATAATTTTAGGCATTTCAAAATCGTAGATGGTTTTCTGTAGCCATTTTAACTAATTGCGAATGACTGCCAAAGCTTTACATTCTATTTTAGTTTTTATTTCTTCTTCATCTTTCACCAGATAACGATCAGGGTGGGAGTGCAGTTTACAAAAATAGGTTCTTCGGGAACACTAACGGCTGAAATACTCGAAAACGCAACGCCCCTGACAACTTTGGGTCCACTTACGAAAGTTGTCACAAAATCCTCTTTAGAGTTCGACCCCAGCACCATCAACACAACCACTACAGGATTTGCAGTCCAGCTCGTTGATAACACGACAACAACTGTGTCTCCGGGTCAAAGTTTGTTCTATGGCTTGAATGTCATTATTCCTCCGGACACCATGGGAAAGCTTGAGGTGAGCTCATGACCGCAGTCTAGGAAATGATGCTCTGTTAAATCTCGATATTTTGAAATAATGTAGGTCTAGTATCTATACCGGCATCTATTGACATTCTTGATTTCCTTTGTTTAGTTTGCATGATGTTCAATAGAACGGGCATTACTCAGCCTGAGTCATTTTGACGCCAATTATTGTAAACTTTTTACGCCTTTACCTGATATAAGCCAATAGAAGTGAAGATTTTTCTCTAATTTTAATGTAATTTCCATGCTTCGCTGCTCAGAATACGCTTATTATAATTCCATTTTCAACACAAACAAATATCAATCTCGTTCTTCTTTCCTAATTCACGGGCAGCTCGGTGTCATGGCTCCTACGGACGGAGGACGAGCGTACGCTACCGTGCACAGCCTGCGCTGGGGCGCCAAGCAAGGCAAGAACATCGGCTGTATGCTCGACATGATCAACTACGACGTGAACTTGCTGCAGAACTCTTCGCTCTCCCAGCCAATGATACACACGTCTCAGACTGACACTTTGGTGGCTCAGCTCGGCTACATCACCAACACTGGTGAGATGTACTGACAAACTGACACTTTGGTGGCTCAGCTCGGCTACATCACCAACACTGGTGAGATGACAGAAAAATAATCCCTGTAGCAATTCGAACTCTCTAGCTTCGTACTAGAAGCCATCGTTAAACAAAATTCATGATTTATTATCCATTGTTACAATAGTTTTACTCTGATAGATAATAGATTGCGTTTTGTATTAATAACTTTTATTAATTCTTAAGGTTTGAGTTACATGCAAAACTTCCCCACTGAACCTACCGACAACATCCTGAGTGTTGAGGTGGAAATCATGATGGCCGACCACACCAATGCCACTGCCAACACCGTCATTCCGGTGTCCATTGCAGTCAAGGTGATATTCCTGGTCACACTTTTTACTATATATAGGTTTACTATTCTCTAAATTCTTATTCTATTTTGTCCCTAATTCTTCAGTTTAATTTATATCGGCAAGCAATATTACTCCAACAACTGGAACGATGGCTTTTCCCATCTTTAATCATTTCCAACATTTACTCAGAAAGTGACTTCCAATTAAAAAGTACAAAAACTTTCATGGTTTACTTCAATTTATTAGTAAATAATGCGTTAAAACTTTTGACGCTACCTGCATTTTAATTTACCTTTTAGTTATTCCGATTCGTGCGGTTAATTTCGGTTATATTGTCGTTTTCCAAACAATGCAGACTGAAGCTGCAACTCCAGGTTAGCGAACAGCTCAATGATTCTCATGGGATCTGATCAATACTTTTGATCAGTAATAAATGATCTGATCAATAATAAAATTGATTTTTTCAGTGTGCTGATCTGGTGTATTTCAATATTGCTCAAACACCGTATGCAAGTGTTCACTTACAATGCAAATAAATTTGAATTGAACAGTTAGGTCTGTGACTTTTTGGGAGATTTTTACTCCATTGCATGCTCCTATAAAATGTATTTTTCTTTTATTCAGTTTTTAATTGCATTACTTTTATACTTTATAAAGTTACAGTTAAAGTAATAAAATTAGTTCAATCAGAAATCGTTGAGAATCAGAGCTAGGGAATCTAAAGAACATTAAGCTAAGCCATCACTCAGGCAAAACTACTCCATAAAATGCCATAATTGGTAATTGTCATGCTAGTTTTTAGAGCAGCGTATGTTTTCTATTAATTAAGGAATGAATGCGGATACATTTGACGCCGTTGCATATAGAGAGAGGACAGCATTATAATGTGTGCTTGTTTAATGACTTGAGCTGATTTTACAGTAAAGGATGCGATTGAAAAAAGCATAACTTGTGACCGCCGCTGCGGACTATACATTTATTTTACGGAATGCATGCAGTTCGGTGATGTGATCTACGTGGTGACCAAGAACCTGCAAATAATCCGCTCAGCAGCTGACCTCATGGCACTCAGAACCTACGTGAACTTCACAGAGGTGCCGAGCTCAACGATCTACAGCCGAGCGTAAGAACTAGACATGTGACAATACTTTCAACCATATTCTCATGAACCTGTATTATATTTCATAAAAAATTTTACCTGATTACTAGATTATGCCATTGAATATATCATTTTACTACAGCGTGATTCATGAGAACTTCCTGTTTAGTATTTCCTGCCAAGCAGCCAAATTTTGAAGGAAAAGGCAATTCATTTGAAAGGCAAGGTAATGAAGTGTGTCCCGCCTATTCAGTTACCACTAAGAATTGGACAAGTGAGCAGCGTGCGTTTGCTGACGAGTCGTACTTTTCTGATTGTTTTGCAAAGTTCACTTCAGAACACTTCATCTCCTTGAAGGGTGACCTTCATTGGCCGGCCCGATCTCCAGATTCAGCTCCGTTACATTTTTTATTGGGTTATCTTAAATCAATTGTTTACAATGACTATCCAAAGACTTCAGACCCTCATTTTTAGAACAGCATACGCCAAGTAGTCGCCCACATACCGTCAATATGCTTCAGATAGTTGAACAGAACTTCAAAAATCAACTAACTGAATGCATTGACAATGAGGGCCGTCATCTGTCCAATGTTATCTTAAAAACTAAGTGATACAAAAATTCTGGTAATGTCTTCTTCAGTATAAATTATATTTTAGTGATCTTTATTATTTATTTTTTCAAATCAGGAAACTTCCGTGAATCACCTTGTGCAAGTGCCAATCTTTTGACTAAGTGTTTTAGCTTTTACGCTCGTCAATAAGTTGGTGTGAGATTTTATCTGTGCAATTATTAACTTAATGTTATTAGATTGTTTTACATCGCAAATTCACGAAAAATTCAAAAGCAAAAAAAAACTCCGCACAATTAACCATATCTCTATGGAAAACGTTTCGGAGTCCTGCTCCCACGTTAGTTCGAAAAATCTAGAACGCAGATACAATCTGAAGTTAATGCTGTCCAAATTAAAAACCAAATATTACGAACGAAAGACAAAGAAAGAAATTAAAATAAATAAAATCCGTAAAACCCATCTGTGAACAATTTCTAGTGAATAAGAGCTAAAGGCTGCATTTAAACTCGTGATCATTTTGAAAATAAACAATGATTTTAAAACACGCTGATCGGAAGCACCAGAACTAGAAGCTAAAGCCTGAAAGTCACTGTCGAAAACTGGAACGTTGCACTGTTCAGCTCTTCCACAGTTTTTTAGCGCATTTTCTCATTTATGGAAAAAATGCACTATTGTGCTCGCCATGTCCGTCTGTCTGTCTGTCCGTCTGTCCGTCCGTCTGTCCGTGACCTCAAGTTTTCGTCGACGAGAAAATGCGCTCTCTGTCACTCACTGCAGTAAGTACTGAATTATATATTTATTTAATATTTGGTTTTAATTTTGACTGAATCAACTTCAGATTGTATCTGTGTTCTAGATTTTTCGAAGTGACGTGAGAGCTGGACTCCAAAAGGTTTTCGATAGGGATACGATGAATTTATATGGAGCTTTCTTCGCATTTAAATTCCTATTAAATGACTAAGTGTTATTTCGAACATTCATATGAGCTTTAATTATGGAAATGAAAAACAGCCTTTAATTTTTTTATAAATAATCTCGGGCATATTTCGATTCCCTCTGCCTCTGTTATCAGGCAGTTAGAACCAACGCTTGCGTAGCGTCCTCTTAGGTCGCGATTAATGATTTCATTAAATTTCCAGAGCAAATCCCCAGCTGAAAATGACCTTCCGCGTGTCTCATGTGATGAACTCGTCGCGACAAGAATTGAACGGAGCAATTGTTCGGGTGCTGCTACCGAAGCCAGTCGAGTTCAACAATCTGACGGACACTTACAGTAGCAACATCACCGCAAACTTCACCAACAACCACTACCTGGACTTTGCTGTGAGTTCATCTTGCTACGTTGACAGGAATTTCGTCATTCCTTTACTCCCACTCATTTTTTACACTATTCGTTCTAATTTTTGTGTATACTTAGACCTTTCGTTGCGATCGGGGCATCGAACAGCTGTTTGCCCGTGGTTTCTATAGGGAGCGCAGCCGTGCAACACCAATTTTGTGCACCAATAAGCCCTGAATCGAACGCCTTGGATCTCTCCGGACATCCATCAATCAGCCGTGAACCACTCGGTTTTGTCCTCCTCTGCCCTTGCATAAAACCTACCGTGCACCACCAGACCGCGGATCGAATATGACTTCCCGTCATCGTTAAATTACGTAATTTTACGTTCACCGCATCGGAGGTTAGGTTTCAGATAGCATAGTTCTATTCCAAAATTTATCGTCCTTCAACGAGTGGCCGTTCGACCGAGGGCTGGTTCAACGCACGGCCTCGATATGATTGTCCAGAAGTGTTGAAGGCTACGTTCCGGAAGGCAGGAATATTGATGGTCCACTACATCCAGGGCAGTGGTGGTCTTCGGCAGGCGACCCGTTTCTATATAACTACTAGTGCTTTAGCTGTGCGACAAGAATTAATTATATAATTTAAATTATTATCAGTTAAAGGTCCGCAACTTTATTCGAGTGGTATGTTAATTTCATGTTTGTGCACAGAACAATCGTTTTTTTTTTCAAGTTAAAAAAACTCTTTTTTTTACTTTCATTTAATATATTTTTTGTTTCTATCAAGAAAATTAAAAAGCGTACAATAAACGAACAATCTTTCTTAGATCTCGAACCTGTTCTTCACTGACTACCTGGAGATGAACGTGACGGTGAGCATCGACCCCTTCAATACAATGATCAAAGGACTGGGACTGTTAGATGCCGCTGCCTTGGTACGCATCGTATGTACCACGTTCGCGGACGCGGTGCCCAAGTACTGCGGCACCACTGCCGTACTCCCCTTCCAGATCGACGGCACAGGTAACGATAGTGGCAATGTGTTCAGCTATCTAGTTCAACTGGTAATAGAAATGGTTTTAAAATCCTTGATTGTTTGCCCAACTCATGCACTTTTGTCACTAATCCTTGGAGGCACATAAACATTGATGGTAGGACAAAATATTCAGTTTAATCGTTCACTGCCTTTATTTTTTCTAGTCCTGCGACAAAAATATTACAATAGTCATAATAACCTACTTACAATAGTAGTACCTGTATACTTGTATGAATAAGCAATTTCCTCATATTTATTAGGTTTAGAATAATTTAGAAACAACATTATTTTACATTATTTTGGTGATTAAAACTCTAGATTAATTACAAATAACATTTCACAGCGCCTTGGCTTCTGTATCTAATGTGCATTTACATTTCAGCGTGCAAGCGTCGCAACAATAGTGCCACAAGGCACGATTTGAACACTCCTCTCTCTCTCTGAAAAGTTCCTATATCTCTGCTCATAATGTTGCGACGAACTTGTTGTGGATAGCTTGCCTCTCGCAACAGTTCCTTTATCTCTGCTCAGAATGTTCCAACGATCTTAACATGAATAGCTTGCCTCTCTCAGAAGTTCCTATATTTCAGCTTAGAATGTTCCGATGGATTTGTCATGAATAGCTTGCCTCTCTCAGTACAGTAGTTCCTATATCTCTGCTTAGAATGTTCCGACGAACTTGTCATGGAGAGCTTGTCTCTCTCAACAGTTCCTATATCTCTGCTCAGAATGTTCCGACGAACATGTCATTGATAGCTTGCCTCTCTCAACAGTTCCTATATCTCAGCTCAGAATGTTCCGACGAACATGTCATTGATAGCTTGCCTCTCTCAACAGTTCCTATATCTCAGCTCAGAATGTTCCGACGATCTTGTCATGGATAGCTTACCTCTCCCAATAGTTCATATATCTCTGCTTATAATGTTCTGACGACATTGGCACGGATAGCTTGCCTCTCTCAACAGTTTCTATATCTCTGCTTAGAATGTTCTGACGATCTTGGCATGGATAGCTTCCTGGACTGCCAGTTTTCAGCCTCAACCGCCATCAGCGCAGCTACGGGTCCAGCGTATTCGAAAATTGCAGCAACTGGTGAGCATTACGTTAAAACATAGAACTCCCTCTTTCGTTTTTAAATGTACCCTCGTTTTTAAACGTGGAAATAAATATTTTACGTCTTTCAAACTAAATTTGTACCAGTTTAAGCATAAAATTTCCTTTATGATTAAATCCTTTCCTGTTAGTTAGCCGTGCCTCACTCATCTCCCACTTGAGAGAAATTTTCTGATCCGAGTTTCATCATGACATGATAGGTAGATAAGTAGTATGGATAGGCGTCTTAACAGCCCCAATGTATACGGAAGCTTCAAACACGTTAACAAAATTCGACAAACTTTTTATCACAATTTATTCGATTTTAAATTAAATTCAATTGTTACTGATTAAGCCAGGTCTTGTTTTGCAATGACAATTTTACAAAAAAAAAACATAATTTCAGGTTCAAACATTATCCCAGTAAGATAGTTAATATAGACACGCACTCGAATAGCCTCATCTTTATCCGGCACTGGGTGACAAACAAGCGCACTTACATATAAATCTCGAAAGAACAAAGTTTTATCGAAGTCAGTGTATTACACACGACACTTTCGTTAGAACAAGTTTTTTTCCAAGCGTGGTAAACCTAACGGTAATAGTTTGTTTTTTTCAGCGGTCCAGCGAATTTAGTTTCTGCCTATTGCAGGCAGGTTAATAATGGTATAAATTAATTACATGCATTTAGAGACACCAACAAGGCTAATTCTGCATTATTTTTCTTTGAAACCAATTTTCTACCGTCTATTGCAGGCTGGTCTCCGGCAGTGCGCTCTGGACCCGGTTGGGACCATCACATTACAATAGATTTCTTGAAGAAGACACGCGTCACGAGAATTACTTTCAGTTCGAGCTCTGTCAAAATTACGCAGTTCAAAGTCCAGTATTCATACAATGGAGCAACTTTCATCTCACCTTGCGACGTAAGTATCCCAATAAACTTTATACTTACATGGGCCAGCGGTACAAGCATAAGGCATCACCTTATTAAATTTTAATCGTGACATACCTGATGACATTAATCAACACTTCAGTGAGGTACAAGATTGAGCTGGTTTAATAAACATTAAACAGTCATGCAACGCTGCGTTACCTAAATTGTTGCGGTGAAACTATTATTTTAAGTTACTTCACTAACACTTTGCACTACAGACCGTGATATCGGTCACCACCGACGACACCCTCCTACCGCCAGCTTGTCGCTTTGAGGCTCGCTTCGGCCGCCTCATCATCGTCGACAGCGCGCCCAGCGATGCGGCCTTTGTTGTGAAGTGAGTCGTAAATGCTTTATTATTATTCAAGTCTTAGCTCTACTATTCGTCATTCAAAGTGACTTTCCTCTTCTATTAATAAATGGCTCTAAATCGAGAGCCGGTAAAATCCAAATGCATATTCGTTACGCAGTTGGGCACGGTTTTTTGTGGCTTACAGTTCTGCATCCTTCTTTCGGACAACCCTTATTTTTTTCGAACTTCGTCAGATTCAAATGGTACGGCTGCTCAACTGAAACTGTCAACGATACCTGCTCAGCTCTGCCGACCACCTATACAGACTCACCAGGCTGGCGCCAGATATCTCACGACAAAACAAATTCAGTTTTCTACTTCTGCGATTACAGCCCCACAAAGAAACGAACTGTCTGCTTCTCTTCTGCCGATGCCGGCGTCACTTGGAATGGTGAGTTCGAGAGTAGCCAAACTTTTGAGGCAAGCCATAGTATATCAGTACAAGTGAAAGTAAATATGGCATATTAGATTGTTAGGAATTTTCCTCTCGTATGTGTTCTTTTCCATGAATAATGCAGTTCGGCTGCCCTTAATGCAGCATTTTTGAATGCATCCAAGAATTGTATATTTTAAGGTTTGCTTGTCTCTTTCGCATAGCAATGCCGGCGTACATCGGTTCCCTTGTTGGACCGAGCGGTGGGCTGTTCTACGCGCGGGACGCCCAAGGCATAGCGACGGTCTCCAGCACCGACGGCGTCAACTGGCTGGTCACGGACGCCACCGTCGCCGCAGGGCTCACCGTCACGGCCAAGAGTGTTCCCGGCAACGCTAAGCTTTCCTTCACTGCCGTCACCGATGGGGACTTGACAGGTTTGTTCATTTTTGAAAGGTTTTCTTGAACGGGGTTGAACATTACATGCCGTCACCGATGGGGACTTGACAGGTTTGTTCATTTTTGACAGGTTTTTTAAACATTACAGTTTCCATCGTGCTGCCCATTTCAATAAATTTGTCGATGCGAGTCTAATAAACTGATTCCTCTGATTTGAAGCTCCTCGGTTGCTTCATTAGATATATTTCTCTATTTAATATATTATGTATGGATAATACTCAATCGCAAGTTAGATAATGCAATATAATGAACTTTGTGATGTATACCGCAAATTCGACTTATCTTAAAAACTTATTTGGATTCGTTGTAGAATATTTCTCAAAATTAGCATTCTCCCGAACGTAAAGGTCATATTTTACTGAAAAGATAATATTAACATATATCTAAGTTCATATTTTGTACATATTATACCATATGTTTGACAGCGGACTACACCGGCATCACGAAGGGCGGCAACTACGTCGTCAAATGGGAGAGCTGCTGCGCCTGAACATCCGCAGCTGCCGTTTCATCAGTGCCGGTCAAACCTACAATTGATAATTATTTCTAAACCATATCAATCTTATACCATGAATAAACGTTTACACTCTGCAGCAATATTCTCTGTTTAGTATTAAATCAGGAGCGAGCAAACAATTGATTTAAAATATTTCCTTATTTTATTATGGCAAATCAATATAGGGCGAACGTGGTTTTCAATCCTAATCGAAAATGTCATGCTACTGAGGCTAGCAGCTATAGTTGCATTGCAAGCACCCAATGATTATAAATCCTTTTATAATGATTTTATTCCATTTTAGCTCTGCGATTCAAAATAAAAACGAATTATTTCCAGGAGTCGAAAGCTCAACTTTCACTAACGAGTTATGAAGTTTTGAATTTGAAATAAAATATCCCACTGTGAGAAGCCGGAGATTTTCCGACTTGATTGGGTATTTAAAGAAATTATTTTTCTTTTTCTTACCAATTCACAAATATTGTTAAGCAGCGTCAGTAGCATCGATAAAGAAAACTCTAATTGGTTAGGGAAACTAGAGGTAACAATAATAATTTGTGTATAACCGCGTAATAAATATCGTATCATGTATGACTTATCAATACAATTTATTATTTCATTCTTAATTTTCACAATTTCTATGAATTTCTTCGTGTTATCCAGAATTATTCACTGCAATGCATCAAGAACTTTTGCATGAATTTCATGTTATACGCACGGCATTTAATTGTTCTTAATCTTTCATTACATCGGCGGCAACGATCATTGTCTGTAATTTCTATAAGTAATGTTGGACAGCTCGTCATATGCATCAAATTTGGCCCATAATGGTTCAAGTCCTGGTACTTTTTTGTTATACTTCAATTTGATCCTCCAAGTAATATGAAAGAACAAATTTTGTCTTGGTATAAACTATAAATTATGTGTGATTTATTATAATATGAAATTTTATTGAGTCCTGGAACAAATAATTTAAGTGAAACTGTTTTTAGAGTTACGCATATCAATAGCATATAATGTATTGATCGTTGGCTCCTTGTGCACAAGTATTTTCTTTGCTAAAATGCGTTTAATATATCTTAACGCGATAATAATTTACATTCTTTCCAATAAATTATACCAACAGCATCTAGCATTCCTGCAGTTTGTAACCAACTTTCCTTAGCCTTCAAATTGAGTACCAAGGGAACTTAAAATGTTATAATTATTTAATGTGAATTACGATATTTTCAACATATTGGAAAACTTAATTCGAACAAATATGAGATCGCCTCGTATTGGCGCCTAATTATCGATAAAATTCTAGCCAGGTAAGAACGCCTCGCTGTACTTAAATGTCATGAGTTGGTTGCGTGGATTTTATGGATAAGTTGAAGCTGAGGAGGGACAATATTGACAGTGAATTGAATTAAAATAGTTCGGTTATCATTTGTTTTATGACGAATTACAATTCAAAATATAGCAAGGATATCAAACTTAACTTAGTGTAGGAAATTTTTTAATCCGATCACTCGAGTAACTCCGGTGACTCGAGTTACTCCGGTGACTAGAGTCCGGTGACTCGAGTTACGCCGGTGACTAGAGTCCGGTGACTCAAGTTCACCTTCACGAGTCCCAACATAAGTTTTGAAAGTTAACATGTTTAGGTTGCTCTTTCTGCACTCATGGATTCTCACATGCATAAAGACAGGCAACAAGAATAACTAACTATCTTGTAGTAACAAATAACTGCACTTAATTCTAAGCAAAAGGGAACTAAGCTCGACAGTAACACAGTGTAACTCGAGAAAAAAATTAGGTACATCGTAAGTTCTTTAATGACGCCACCGACATAACAGTTCTGCTACAATCTACATCATTAGCTCAGTTTCAATAGCTCAGGTGTGTAAGCGCTGAAGTATGAAAGCTCCTATTTCAGCACTAGCATGGCCAAACCACGCTAACCACTGAGCAAAGATAAGCGGTGTATTATCAACACTTCATCGGAACTGAAGACATTGATGGATTAAATCAAGATGCAGAGGAAATAAAGAAATACAATGAATGGCACGCACTCAATTAAATAGTTGCAATTGATAATTGAATGGATAGGAGGTTCTGAAACAAAAAAAAAAACGTGAAAGAAAAAATAAAACGAAGAATTGGTACTTGTCATGATTTATATCACTACATATACAATCACATACTATTCATATGTATCACAAACACGAATGAAATAGTTTGGCGAAATTATAACTCCAGCAGTGATGCTTGAATTACTCAATTACGAACAAATTTGAAAGTGATCCGATTCTTATGGTATCGGTGAACATGATTTTGATATAAAGAAAAATGCTATTAAAACCGAACGATGAAACATTGAACTATAATTGTATATCAATTTAAGAAGCAACTTTTTTAACTGATAAAAAATTTCTATTTAATTGCGGTGCCAAAATAACAATGCTCAAAGGGTGGCTACAAGCGCAGCAACGCAGAACGATGTAGGACTAAATTAAATGGACTCATAGTTTGGCGAAATTATAACTCCAGCAGTGATGCCTGAATTTCTCAATTACGAACAAATTTGAAAGCGATCTGATTCTTAAGGTCTCGCTGAACAGGATTTTACTCTTATTAAAATGCTATTGAAAACCGATCGATGAAACATTTAACTAAAATTTTTTATCGATTCAAGAAGCAACTTTTTTAACTGATAAAAAATTTCAATGAAATCGCGGTGCCAAAATAACAATGCGCAAAGGGTGGTTAGAGTCGCAGCTACGCAGAACGATGTAGGACTAAATTAAATGGACTCCTAAACGCTTACCCATCTTTCGCATCTCGAGTGATTCAGACTCCTCGTCATCCTCATCATTGTCACAAAAAGGCAAAAATACTAGACGTAAAATCAAACAAGACGCATTGTGGAGAATATAGTCTTTTTATATGAAGTCTGCTAATTATATGAAACAACAGAGCGGTTTAGCTATCCAAAACCCAAGTATTTCAGAACAATTGCGGCCATGACAGCTTTGTAAATAATTTGTTTAGAAAGAATGAATGAGACTTCCGAGGATCCTGTCATGAGGTGAGCATGGAGGATTGTTCTAGAGGAGCGGTGATTGTAAGCCATGAGCCATCATCAGACGGCCACCGTGTGATCCATGCACCACGAGACATGGAGGATTGTTCAAGAGGAGCGGTGATTGTAAGCCATGAGCCATCATCAGACGGCCACCGGGTGTTCCATGCACCACGAGACATGCAGGATTGTTCTAGAGGAGCGGTGATTGTAAGCCATGAGCCATCATCAGACGGCCACCGTGAAATCCATGCACCACGAGACATGGAGGATTGTTCTAGAGGAGCCGTGATTGTAAGCCATGAGCAATTATCCCTCGACCACCGTGTAATCCTTCTACAACACAAATGATGGGGCGCTGTATGGTGCTCGCCGTATAGGACTGCAGCAGCGTTGGGAAAGATGCTCGGACACATCAATACGAGACCATTCATATAATATTAACTTATCTTCAACCGGATACAAAATTACTTAGAAAAAAAATTAATTTTAGAACACAAGGCAGTCACCGAAAAACACCGCCTGAGACTTCAATGCTATACACAAGTCGCAGTAGAATGTCGGTATCGGATTGAATTTTTTAGTTCGGAATGGAAAATTCATTATATTGTTGATCAGAGGTTATATAAAGTACTCGTGTTATAATTCCGGCATGGTTTAAAGTCATTGCAATTTTCCTGTTTACAGTATCAAAAATTTCGTCTGGAATAGCAATAGTGGTTTTTTTAACATAAGGTTACAGCTAAATAAAATACTTAAAAATACTTTTTTAAAAAACACGTTCTTCTTGTGCTCCAAAAAGNTCCAGAAGGCAAGACCATTTCAATCAGCTGAGCAGCAAGCAGCTGAGCAGTGAGCAGTCAGCTGCAGCTCAGCCTTCCCTCCAGAAGGCAAGACCATTTCAATCAGCTGAGCAGCAAGCAGCTGAGCAGTGAGCAGTCAGCTGCAGCTCAGCCTTCCCTCCAGAAGGCAAGACCATTTCAATCAGCTGAGCAGCAAGCAGCTGAGCAGTGAGCAGTCAGCTGCAGCTCAGCCTTCCCTCCAGAAGGCAAGACCATTTCAATCAGCTGAGCAGCAAGCAGCTGAGCAGTGAGCAGTCAGCTGCAGCTCAGCCTTCCCTCCAGAAGGCAAGACCATTTCAATCAGCTGAGCAGCAAGCAGCTGAGCAGTGAGCAGTCAGCTGCAGCTCAGCCTTCCCTCCAGAAGGCAAGACCATTTCAATCAGCTGAGCAGCAAGCAGCTGAGCAGTGAGCAGTCAGCTGCAGCTCAGCCTTCCCTCCAGAAGGCAAGACCATTTCAATCAGCTGAGCAGCAAGCAGCTGAGCAGTGAGCAGTCAGCTGCAGCTCAGCCTTCCCTCCAGAAGGCAAGACCATTTCAATCAGCTGAGCAGCAAGCAGCTGAGCAGTGAGCAGTCAGCTGCAGCTCAGCCTTCCCTCCAGAAGGCAAGACCATTTCAATCAGCTGAGCAGCAAGCAGCTGAGCAGTGAGCAGTCAGCTGCAGCTCAGCCTTCCCTCCAGAAGGCAAGCCTATTTCAATCAGCTGAGCAGCAAGCAGCTGAGCAGTGAGCAGTCAGCTGCAGCTCAGTCTTCCCTCCAGAAGGCAAGAGCAGGAAAGTCATGCAGCGAGTTGTCACTGAGACGCGCCAGCGTCAGTACGCTGCCTCTCGTGCTGGTAGCAGCTCCAGTCAAAATGTCTTGGGTGGTGAGCCAGAAAAACAAAATTATTTTGTATCAATGGCAATAAAACTGCCAATAAACTCCCTCAATATTGACTCTGCGTGAACTTAATAAAGTATGAAACACACAGTAAAAGTTATGAAACACAAGTGAAATTAACAGTTTCACACATTAATCTCCATAAGATTTGAATCAGTCTATAGAAGCACTCGTGTCAACTACATAATATCTGTGTGAAACGCAAGGGAAACGTTGAGATGTGTCGAGTCATTTGCAAGTTCATTAATGAAACCGATAAACTTAGTGAAAAATCAGGAAATGTCGTATAAATAAGATTGATTATTTTTTGGAGAAGAGTTATACATGAAAACTTTGAGATCGCTAAGTGTTCATGTTATAGTTTTATATATTAACAACTGTGTCTCATTATAAGGTTCAATATTCAGTCTCTCACGTATCCATTTTAGACGCATCTTTCTCATATTATTGGGATGATTGTCTCACCGTATGTGGATGATGTCTCGCCTCACATGGATGATTGTCTAAATTTATTGGCATGATTGTCTCCTCTTACAGGGATGATTGTCTCATTTTATTGGGAAGATTGTCTCACCTTATATGGATGATTGTCTCCCCTTATACTTATAGGGATGATTGTTTCCCTTATACGGATGATTGTCTCCCCTTATTGGGATTATTGTCTCCCCTTATAGGGATGATTGTCTCCCCTTATAGGGATGATTGTCTCCGTTATATGGATGATTGTCTTCCCTTATAGGGATGATTGTCTCTCCTTATAGGGATGATTGTCTCACCTTATATGGATTATTGTTTCACCTCATAGGGATTTGAAATGAGATGAATAGCTTGACTCTGTAGCAAGAAGTGGTGATTTCGGCGTCAATTGAAATGAAGTTCCTTTTATTGCCGTTAGATCTGTGCTGAAGGACAGAGAAAATTGTTGATGCAGGAATTAAGCAAAAATGCCAAGTTTTATTATTAAGCACATAGAAGAATTGATAGAGACAAGACATATTGGTCGCCTGAGAACCGAGTCCCGTTCCCGGTTCATCTGGTCCAATGCGGTTCACTACATTCCACTCTTTGTATTGCATTAACAAGAAAAATATTCAAGATGCCGATGTAGAACCAGAAATCAGGAATCAATGGATTTATTCTTGCAATTTTTTATCTTGTTGAATTGATATTATAGCTACACGAGCTCATATAAATTTTGATACTTTTAAGTGCGTTAGTGTGTATTTCTACAAATGTTATGCAAGCATATGCAGTTACTGTTATCGACTTGACTTCCTCAACAGAACTGTTATCTTAGCAATCATGGTAAATAAAATTTGAAGTACTTGCTTTTGTGACGGTATCAAATTTGAAATCCAAAACTTAAAGCGTAAATGAGACGTGCGAAATTAGTCGTCATTATGTTCAAAAGACTTGATGTGCTTCTGCTCGTTTCAGCGACACTAGGTAAGTAATATTGTACGTTGGTTTTGCTTAAAACTAACGAATAATTCAGTTCCGATTCCCAAAAAAATCTGTAAAATTTGGTTGAATAATAAACGAGGAGTTTTCCATTGAAAATGAGATCAGATGAAGCAAACATTTGACTTGCCATAAGCAATGAATCAAGTGTGCAATTATTAGAATACGGGAAAAAATTTCTCAATCATGAATTATTTTTTGGCTTAACCTTACTCAACAAATTTTGTACCATAGTGTTATTGCAATCAACTATGAATTTTTGGAAGAATTACCGGCACAAATCTCCTAAGATATTACTCCAGTAGACAGATGGGCTTGAGCTCAAGCCTGTCATGCACTTACCTGCTTTGATATTAAAGCTTATTCTATTTCTGTGTCTTCGTTCCTACGACAACCCATCGACCCAAAATATTCTCGATTTCGTTTGCGTGATGTCGTTTGCGTGATGAGCAGTACAAACTTGTTAGGTAGTTCCGCTTTGTTGGTGCGTGTTTACTGAACGAAGTCTTAATTAAAAATCGTGATCGTTGGTCCAGCAGCTCGAAGTACATGATTGTTTGCCAACTGGAAGGTATTTTGTGATGCATTTACATGGTCGTCTTGATTGGCTGCATGGCATGTTCTCTCCAACTCTAGATTGCTGGGCATGAATTTGTAACAAGGTCCTGGATATTTTCCGAGGTCTACAACTTGATTTATTATATCTCGAAAGTACTCATTATTTGTAAATGAAACGGAATGATTACAGAGGTGGACGAGTTTACTTTAATGAACTTTGGGCCACCTAGATACAAGGCAATAATTAACTGTGTTTAAAACTAATTTGTAGAACTTTTTATTTTCAAATACGATCGCAATTTATATCGTGTGATCGACCATGAGTGTGTTCTCTGTTCAATGTAGACTTGGCAATCAACAAGAAGACTATTATTTAATTACGAAAAAAAATATATTGTTTCTATTTCAGTTGCAGCAAAAGACTGTTATCACAAGCCACCAAACTGCAAAGATGACTCGTGCTTAATGTGAGTATTACTGCATTCTCATCAAGATTAGGCAGGATTAGCAAAAACAGCCCTGAGCTATTCGTCCTGAATCTAAATCCATGAAATACCTTCTAATAAATAAACATACATTTTTAGTGCAATGTGATTTCAATAAAAAATTTGGCGGAAGTTTCTATCAGTTTAGCGGAAATTGAAGAAAAATAACTATCCGCATAACGATTCCCATCGATGCAGTTGAGGTGCAAGACTGTCTGCACAATTAAGGACATAACCCGGTCAGCTAAACAAATTCAACGACATACTCATGCCGTTCTTTGGTCACTTATTCTACCCGATCGTGAATAAAATGACCTTTCGATGGTCGGATTATTCATAAAACCGGGAATTAAAATCGTTAGGGTTAGGTTGGGGATGGAATCAAATTCTTAATCTGATGGAATCGGACTAAGATTAGATGCTTAATCATCCGAGTATTAGGTGAAGACAGCCAAGTTTTTTTTCTTCGCGAGTGAAGCTTGACCTGGCCTAAACCAAACCCAAAAAGCATTTAATAATAGATTTTAACCCCAATTCTAACCCTAGCCCTAACGTCCTAAACCTAACGACCAAATTAAATGGGTCTTCACTTCTAAGTGAGTAATAAGAATGGCAAACAATGATTTTAACATACCTTTTTACACGCTTTAAATTCGAATCAATAATTATATAGTAACTAAGGATTTTCAATAGGCCTTGTTGAATACTATGAAAAAAATGCTGTGGATTTTTTTATGCACTGCCTGCCAGTGTTTGAAAATTAGCTGAATCGTTTCTACGTGATTTTATTGCGCTTTGTAACGCCGTTAAAAAAAACAAACGATCAATTCATTAAGTATAGGTGATACGGGGAACGACACGATTCTCGTCCCGCTGCCATTGCTGGCATCTTATTTGCAGTTGCGTATCTTTCAGCAGTCGCGCATTCCTCACAGTATTTTTACAAGTTATGCATACGAAAGTTATTGACAAATTCAATTTATCGTGCGATCGAATAGTGATACATTTTGAGTTTGTTCTTAAATAATTTTTATTGCTCCCGACTGGTGGACGTGGCAGTGTGGCGAGCACTATGCATTAATTCCGTCTGCTGTCGCCTGCAGCTCATGGCAGTGCTGGGGAGCATACGGCATCATATATGCTTATTTTCTGCCACTAATTACTTATAAGCTTGAACATATTTATTTTATACTTGTTTTTGATAAGCTACATTTACTGATGTAAGTGCATTAATTCCGTCTGCTGTCGCCTGCAGGACATGGCAGTGTGGGGAGCATACGGCAGTGATTCCTATATACCTACATTCCTCTTCCTATACCTCTTCCTATACCTCTTCCTATACTTCTTCCTCACGACATTTAATTCCTATATACCTACATTAATTCCGTTTTAATTAATCCACACTGCAGCACATGGCAGTGTGGGGAGCACTCGCAGTGCGGCGCGCGTAGAGGCTGCGTCTGCCTGCCCTGCTACACCGGCGACACCTGCGACGAGTACGGTTAGTTTACGGTATACTTTGTTAAAGATATTATTTATGTTTACACTTCTAGTAAATTAATGGAAGTGTAGGTAGATAAAAGTGTAGGTAGATAGTAGTGTAGGTAAATAGAAGTGTAGGAAAAGACAAGTTTAGATAAATAGAAGTGTAGGTAAAGAGAAGTGTAGGTAAATAGAAGTGCACGTAAATAGAAGTGAAGGTGAATGGAAGTGTAGGTAACTAGAAATGTAGGCACTAGCTCCGTTCGGGAAACATTCGAGATGCAGCGCTAACTAACTAATTTGTATTCGATTAATGACAGGTTAAAGGAACCTCCGCAAACAGGGTGCACTGAAGACAAGGACACCGGGTGGCGACCAGTAGTCCTGTTAACTCCTTCAATCGATTCCTTTATTGTCATTTTAATATTACTAGAGATTTACAATACTAACAAACTATTTGTATTTAAAGTTGGAAGTGAAAAATTTTAATCATTATTGTTATTTTCTTTGCTTTCAGTGGACCGCTTCCCAATTACGTTGGAAAAAGAGCACGATGGAATAAAAATCTCAGCTGACCGTTCAGGTGTGTATGAAATCTTGTCTTGAAATCTTGGATGTCGACCAAACCATCAAAATGTTGGAATTCCTGGTTCATTCGATCTTATTTGCAACTGACAGGTCGAATCCTGTTTATTTTCGTCACGTGAATTTTTATGTCAAGGTTTTAACTTAAAATACTTCAATACGCATGCTTCGAATAATTTGTTTGACTTTTCGAACTGCGGTGTGGCCATTCTATCATAAAACAAGTGTTAAAATGCTTAACGAGAAGACATTCGACCAGGAAATTCATTATTCATAACGACATCAGAGTTCGTATCAAGTTCTGATTAGTTTCATCCAAGGAGCGACCTCTCAGTATGAGTATTGATTTGTCAAATCAAATTTAGCTCTTTGCCCACGACCTAACACTCTCCCCACACATTTCTACACTATACACACACGCTTATAAACAACACATATTTATAAATTACATATACATTAATACACTACCTAGACGTTTACACATTACCCGCACATTTGCGCATTACACGCTCGTTTATACACTACACCCACATTTATTTGATTACCAATGACCATGTGCAGCAATCATTTGCATTTTGACCCTGAGCACTTAACAGCAGCAGTCTGTCATATCTAACAGTGCCGACTTTACAGATATCATAGTCTTCTCCTTTGTAGAGTGACAATTCAATTCTTATATTCATTTCATGGTGGGCACGAAAAATTGGGTCATGAAATATTTACCTGTTCATTTGAACATATTTCACTTTGTTTTAGATTAAACATTCATTCTGCTGTATGATAACTTTTGTACCAATAATTGTTGAATAAATTCTTCTTCAGCGGTTGAGTAAAGATCTCAAATATCACGTCGTATGTGATTATAGAATCCACTACTGCATCGACCAGGGGCCATACTTTCAAAAAAAATTAAGAGATCGTAAGTTCATCAGCCAGTCATTGACGGCCTTTCTATAAAAAAGCACTTAACAGCAGCAGTCTGTCATATCTAACAGTGCCGACTTTACAGTTATCATAGTCTTCTCCTTTGTAGATTGACAATTCAATTCTTATATTCATTTCATGGTGAGCACGAAAAATTGGGTCATGAAATATTTACCTGTTCATTTGAACATATTTCACTTTGTTTTAGATTAAACATTCAGTCTGCTGTATGATAACTTTTTTACCAATAATTGTTAAATAAATCCTTCTTCAGCGGTCGAGTAAAGATCTTAAATACCACGTTGTATGTGACTATTGAATCCACTACTGCATCTACCAGGTAAACAAAATGCGACGTAAAACATACTTTTGGAACGTTGCTCTACAAGGCCTTTCTATCCGCATGCGCATAAACTGACATAGCGCGCGTGTTGAGGGTTGCTTAGCACCGTCCGGGTGAACCGTCGTAAGGGAATGTTTATTTATTTTCACAGCTCAATTGAACTGCCGGCGCCATCATCAACACCAGATCACTCCTAAATGCAAATTGGTCCTCAAAGTTTGTTGAAGAGCGATTGAGTTTAGCGTATCGAAAATCGCTGATCAATGTTATTGATGATTTGAAATAATTCTCCTTCCATTTTGAAATTTAATATATATTATGATCTGAAGTTAATGTGATTACGAGAAATTTTGTGTAGGGAAGACTAAGTAACAGAAAAAAATAAATGTAGTTAAAAGTTCAGAACTTTCATGGTTTTGATGCAATTGCCGTTGATTATGAGTTGAACCAAGAATTTATTCATAATCGCAGTAGCTAATTGATTGTTCAGCACATTTGGCATCTAATTCTCTGCTCCACGGCAGGTTTGGTGTACCAAGTGAACGCAACGGACGACGACCAAACGATCAGCTGCACGAATATCGTGCGCACAAATCTGTTCGCCGAGTGCCCGTGCGGAGCAATAGAGTACGGGCCTCTGAAGTTGATGCGCCCGTTCTCATCTGCCGATGAAAACCCGTTCAAAATGGACCCAGTGACGGGCGACGTCCTGATCAAAGACTCGGCCCTGCTGGAGCCCGGAGAAACGTACTACCTACAGCTGCAAATCCAGCGTGCGTCCTGATGATTTGTTTGCATCAAATTCTTATTATTTTCGTTATAATATATCAATGATCGAGTATTTTTTTAACCTCTAGATAATCGTTATATATGAATTACTTTTTATTTTCATTAATTTGACGTGTTCAGCACACATATTTTTATTCAGACTTCAGTAGTTAAATGCACCCAATATGCTGCTATGAATTCAGACCAGTCATTTCCCTTAAGATTGAAAAAATATCTTCTGATGTGAATAATATTGATTGTCCAACAAAAAAATTGTTAATGCATATCATNCAGTGTCGGGCATCACGCCCTTCGCGCTCTGCAACTTACAAATTACGGCGTTCGGCTCCCTGATCACGAGTGGCACGGGCGGCGCTCTTACAGCGGCATCTTTCACACCCGACATCAAGGAGAATGCTTTCCTCTCTGGAGTGGTCAGACTCATTCATAAACTACTCATTTGTTAAATTAAATTGACGTTAAACTTTTCCTTAAAATAGCATACGAGTTGTTTCAACTTGTTTCGCACTAAAATTTCACCGTTTGACATTTTGAGTCAATGATTTTGCATTTAATTCGGGAAGAACAGCATGACATAAATTTTATCTCCTTATTCAATTTGGATCCGCCATTGCCTTACCATCGTTCCAGAACGATCGAGCAATCATCGACTTCGGCAGCCTGATGAACTCCGCGGCCGTCAACAGCGCTGGACCCTTCACTGACAGCACCATCGAGATCAATTTTGACGCGTCCCTGGTCTCAAACCCTGCCTACACCAACACTGCAGCCAATGTCACCGCCGGAGCAACGTACGCTAACGGGACCGTGTGGCTCGGGACGATGTCCTACAACTACGATATGAGTGCGGTGAGTGCAACATCGTGGTTAAGTTGCAGTGCCTCCTCTCCTAATCTGACGACATTAAATTCGCTAGAGTTCAGTGCGCGGGTTAGACACGCTACCTCTCCATCCAACCCCGACTACATGAACGCTGCGAGGACTATGCGCTGTTCACGCATGCCATCTCTATTCACTTTATACGGCCGTTACGATCTTGCATTCCATGTTCAAGAGCGGAAATCGTATTGCATTATTTTTGTGCTTCAAAACTTTCTTTGGCATTACTTACGTTGAACAAGTCGAGGGAATGCTGCTGAATGTCCCCTGCTACTACACCACAGCGTCACGCCGTGAGTGTTCTACAAGCGGTGCAGTAATATCACCTGCTGCTACACCACAGCGTCACGCCGTGAGTGTCTACAAGCGGGGCAGTCGCAAGTCAAGGAGCTCGAGCTCCTTGACTTGTGCTAGTTGTTTATGGGACATGAATATTCTATTTTTAATCATGAATCAGTGAAATGTGGAGAAAATGTCGTTGCAGCTGCTTGAATGTCTTTTTTACAAACCCGTTGAAGGGATCCGGTTCATTGGCTCTCAACATGGCGCTGACAGTCGTGGGCACGGACCCGACCACGGCACTCCTACCCGGCCAGTCCATCAAGTACAAGCTCAGCATTATCATACCTAAACTCAGTAAGACCAACGAAATGTGTAG